GTGGTTTAGTAAAATATTTTGGCCTTATATATTTACACCCTTCATCACACTCTGGTATAGGATATTATGTTTTTGTGCATATGTTTGTAACAGACAAATTGAAACGAGATAGGCACATGGTTCCTTTTAAGAATATGCATAGAATAACTTTCTGAGTCGATTAATGCATGTTCGTCCATCTGTACGCTATGCCAAATTTTGTGCAAATCGATGGATATATATTGGGACCTTGGTGCACCATTTACATAAAATCGGACGAAAATATATATGGGAGATATGTCGAAATCTAAACCGATTTTCCCGAAACTCACCACTCATCATTCTACACTCAATTCAGTACGCTATGCCAAATTTCGTGCAAATCGAAGGATATAAGGGGAATTTGGTGCACTACTTACCTAAAATCGGACGAAAATATATATGAGAGCTATATCTAAATCTCAACCGATTTTCACGAAATTTAACACATATCGTTCTAAACTTAATTCAGCACGCTTTGCGAAATTTCTTGCAAATCGAAGGATACAAAGGGAAATTAATACACTATTTACCGAAAATAGGACGAAAATATATATGGGAGCTATATATAAATTTGAACCGATATCCACGAAATTTAACACACATCGTTTTAGACTTAATTCAGTACGCTGTGCCAAATTTCGTGCAAATCGAAGGATATATAGGGACGTTGGTGCACCATTTACATAAAATCGGACGAAAATATATATGGGAGCTATATCGAAATCTCTACCGATTTTCCCAAAACTCACCACTCATCATTCTAGACGAAATTCAGTACGCTAAGCCAAATTTTGTGCAAATCGAAGCATATTAAGGGACTTTGATGCACTATTTACCTAAAATCGGACGAATATATATATGTGGGAGCTATATCTAAATCTGAACCGATTTTCACAAAATTTAACACACATCGTTCTAGACTTAATTCAGTACGCTATGCCAAATTTCGTTCAAATGGAAGTATATATAGAGACTTTGGTACACGATTTACCTTAAATCGGACGAAAATATATATGGGAGCTTTATCCAAATCTGAACCGATTTTCACGAAACTTAACACACATCATTCTAGACCTAATTCATTACGATGTGCCAAATTTCTTACAAATCGAAAGATATATAGGGACCGTTTACATTAAATCCGACGAAAATATGTATGGGAGCCGTATCTAAATCTGAACCGATTTTTCCCAATTTCAATAGGGTTCGTCCTTGAGCCAAATAAGTGGCCTATGCCAAATTTCATCCAATTCGGATTATAAATGCTACCTGTACTTTATTTACAATTTAACATCGACAGACAGACGGACGGACGGACATGCATAAATCGACTCAGAAAGTGATTCTATGCATATTCTCAAAAGGAACCATGTATCTATCTCGTTTCCTTTTGCCTGTTACAAACATATGCACAAAGACATAATACCCTGTACCACAGAGTGGTGAAGGGTATAATAAAATAGAGGTCGCATATAAAATCCGATTTGGATGAATGTTGAAGCTAATTTATTTGGCCCAAGGACGAACCACATTGGAATTGGTGAAAATCGGTTGGGATTTAGATATAGCTCCCATATATATTTTCGTCCGATTTAATGTAAATGGTCACCAAACACCCAATATTTGCTCAATAGAGACGAAATTTTGTACAGTTTCATCCGATGTTAGTTAAATGTTGCACCACACTCCCAATATTTGTCCGATTGAGACAAAATTTTGTACAATGTACTGTGAGAAGTCTGCGAATTTTTGTTAAAATCGGTTCCGATTTTTGTATAGCTCCAGAGATGGTCCGTCAGAAACAGTGGCGTAAATGACATACATTTTCGACGTATAATACATACGTCAGAAACGTCGGAAAACCACCAAAAACCAAATGACTAAATAGCTATTTCCATTAATCAATTTGGAAATTACGTATGCTTTACTCAAATCCATCTCAAAATTGTAAATGTTCTTCTCCAAAAAGTTAAGAATTTGTTATTAGTTCTAGTAAGGAACAGTCAGATATATGTAACAAAAATATAAAAATAATATATATATATACTTGAAAATAACTATATCTGGTAAAAATATTTAAATAAATGACGTTTACTACATTTATTAAATTTTATACAGGTATATGACGTTATCGACGTTTACACCTTTTTGACAGTCGAAAACCTACAAAATCTTCACACGAACCATCCCTATGTTCATAGATTTCTGAATGGTATGTGTATGGTTATACCCTTCACCACACTGTGGTACAGGGCAGAAGGAATAGGCAGGCAGAAGGAATAGATATAGACACATGGTTCCTTTTGAGAATATGCATAGAATCACATTATGCATGTCCACCCGTCCGTCTGTCCGTCCGACAGTCCGTCCATGTATTTTTGTGAGCAAAGTACAGTTAGCATTTATGATCCGAATTGGATGAAATTTGGCACAGCCCATTGATTTGGCCCCAGGACGAACCCTATTGAAATTGAACAAAATCGGTTCAGATTTAGATATAGCTCACATATATATTTTCGTCCGATTTTAGGTAAATGATGCACCAAAGTCCCTGAAAATCATTAGATTTTCACGAATTTTGGTGTAGCGTACGATGTGTGCTAAATTTCGGGAAAATCGGTTCAGATTTAGATATAGCTCCCATATATATTTTCGTCCAATTTTAGGTAAATGATGCACCAAAGTCCCTGAAAACCATTAGATTTGCACGAATTAAGTCTAGAATAATGTGTGCTAAATTTCGGGAAAATCGGCTCAGATTTAGGTATAGCTCCCATATATAGTTTCGCCCGATTTTAGGTAAACGGTTCACCAAAGTCCCTAAAAATCATGAGATTTGCACGAATTTTAGCATAAGGTACTGAATAATGTCTAGAATGATGTATGCTAAGTTTCGTGGAAATCGGTTCAGAATTAGATATAGCTCCCATATATATTTTCGTCCGATTTTAGGTAAATGATGCACCAAAGTCCCTGAAAATCATTAGATTTGCACGAATTTTGGCATAACATAATGAATTAAGTCTAGAATGATGTGTGCTAAATTTCGGGAATATCGTTTCAGATTTCGATACATCACGGATATATAGTTTCGCCCGATTTTAGGTAAACGGTTCACCAAAGTCCCTAAAAATCGTGAGATTTGCACGAATTTTAGCGTAAGGTACTGAATTATGTCTAGAATGATGTATGCTAAGTTTCGTGGAAATCGGTTCAGAATTAGATATAGCTCCCATATATATTTTCGTCCGATTTTAGGTAAATGATGCACCAAAGTCCCTGAAAATCATTACATTTGCACGAATTTTGGCATAGCGTAATGAATTAAGTCTAGAATGATGTGTGCTAAATTTCGGGAAAATCGTTTCAGATTTCGATACATCTCAGATATATAGTTTCGTCCGATTTTAGGTAAATGATACACCAAAGTCCCTAAAAATCATTAGATTTGCACGAATTTTAGCATAGCGTAATGAATTAAGTCTAGAATGACGTGTGCTAAATTTCGTGAAAATCGGTTAAGAATTAGATATAGCTCCCATATATAGTTTCGCCCGATTTTAGGTAAATGGTGCGCCAAAGTCCTTGAGAATCATTCAATTTGCACGAATTTTGGTACATCGTACTGAATTAAGCGTAGAAAGATGTGTGCTAAGTTTCGTGTAAATCGGTTCAGATTTAGATATAGCTCCCATATATAGTTTCGCCCGATTTTAGGTATATGGTGCACCAAGGACCCTATATATTCTTCGATTTACATGAAATTTGGCAAAGGGTACTGAATTGAGTCTAGAATGATATGTGCTAAGTTTCGTGAAGATCCCTTCAGATTTAGATATAGCTCCCATATATTTTCGTCCGATTTAAGGTAAATTTTGCACAACGTATGACATTGAGACTTGAATGGCGTTATTGGGTTTTGTTGAAATTGGTGCAGATGCAGCCATAGCTTCTATATGTATTTCGAACGGGTGTCTGATTGAGATTAAATTTTTAACTGTGCGGCGTACCGAACAGCTTGTTTCAATTTTGCTTTAAATCGTTTTCCATAAATTTGTCCCATGGTACGCAGACGACTTTAAATCTGCCCGAATGAAATTAAATTTATCATAAGTTGCAGAAAGACATGAGTATGTTTGATGATACATATGTATATATTGTACATATTGTAAGGATATATATGTACAATATACCCAAGTGGTGATGGGTATCATTTAGTCGGCCCATTCCGATTTTACTACTTTCCTTACTGGTTCAAATATCTATGTAGATCACATTTATTTGGCCCGATTCCATTTGATGAGATCATATGTCTCTTATATGAACATGATATTGTACACATTGTCATATCTTGTATTTACACAAAGTGATGAAGGGTATCCCATTCAGCAAAAAAATTGAGAGGTTATCCGTTTCCGCAGGTATTGCATATGTCTTTCAAATCTTTGAATGCACGCTCACTGCACTCGATGCTTCGGTGATTTTTTCCATAAGCATTCAAACATTTAAAAGCCACATATAGTTATTAGAAATTTTCAGCGGGGGACAGCTGACTACTGAATCATTTATCTGCGCATGAAAAACAAATGAACGAATAGATTTTGCACAAAAATAAATGAAATGGGCTCAAAAAGTTATCCTAAGTATATTTTGAAACGTAACTATGAGTATAGAGTTTTGTAGGACAAATTTAAAATTGGCTGGTACTATTATGAACAATAATTCATGAAAGATATGCATTCTATAACGAGTATTTAAGATAAGAGATTTATGAGCGATACCCAAAAAATATTTCTACAAGAAGTTTTACTGTTCTCATATATCCAATAGACTTTAAATCCAGATTTTCAATGTAAATATAATAACAATCTACTGTTCTCCCTTTCTGTTTGTTCTCTATCTCTTTCTTTACATATCCACCATCGATGCCATCAAATCTGTTAAATGAAAATAATCAACCATTTTGTCACACCAAACAGTGGAGTAAGTTACAAGTGACATGCCAGCAATTAGATTGTATGCAACGTCATGCCGAGGGGCACGGGAATTTGTGGCACAAGCAGGCAATAGTCTTAAATGAAAATCATCACTATCAGCATCAACTCCAGCAGCAACAGCAACACCACCAACAAAAGACTGACACCCATTTAACATCTACAGTATTATCATCATCAGCAGCTGCCGCGACTGGAGTTGGGCCATCGGCAACAAATACAGCTATTCTTTCGACCTCATCGTCGGCAGCAACAACAGTAACTGCATTAACGGACACGACAATGACTACCACCACAACGGCGGATGTAGAAGTTGATGCTGAAGCGGAAACATCATCGGCGGTGTTAAGTGCGGTTTCCCATGATGGATCGACAACGGCACCACCCTCATCGTGTGGCTCATCACTAATAAAAACTCCCATCAGCAGTAATGTGACAACGTTGTTGGCATCGCCTGTTGATGTGGAGCCAGTTGGAACAACACCACCACCGCAAATGGGAAGTTTGAAAAAATCTGCCACCCATTTGCCAACAGCATCAATTGCATTTAATCATCATCACCAATCCTCCTGCAACTCAGCCAATACCCTACCAGCATCTGCATCCTTAGCGACAACGTCAGTAACACATTCCAAGGTTTCGAATAGTTTGTCATCATCCTCACCGTCATCGTCATCAACAACAGCAACAGCAGCAGCAGTGGCAGCAACATCAAAGGCATCATCGGCAACCCAGCCAAAGAAACCAAACGATTGGGTTGTAATTCCGGTGTTTGCGGATATTGTTAAATTAGCACTGGCAGGACGTGAAGACTGTTTGCAGCGGTAAGTTCATTACATGCAAATCAACAACTACACACACAAACACAGAGAAACACTCGCGCACAACTACACACCCACAACGGTTTTGTAATTAGTTAAAAGTTTGTTCATTTGACGATGGGATAACGATGATGATTATATCGGAGCAGCATATGGCCTTTATATGTTTCCTGCTCCTTAATATATATCTACACCATAATCCGGTGATAGCAATATCATATAGGAAAATAATCAAATAACTGTCATGAGATTTGCTACAGGCATTACTGAGTCACCCACACACACACATGCGATATCCGGAGGAATAATTATTACATTTTTGTTTGCATTTAAAAATGAAATTTCATTAAATTCGCTTACCGCTCTATGGCAATGTTTAATATTGTTAATTAATTTTTATTATTTTTTCATAGCAAAATTTCTTGCATCAGCTTCCATGTTTCTCGAAAGTAATTCGTTATCACTTGGAGTTTTACAATAACAACTGGGGCTTACATTCAGGCCATAATATAATTAACTATGATTAGATATTAACAGAAAAGAGAGGGAGAGAATAAGAGAAAGCGAGGGAGTTTGAATTTGCATTTTAGATAATTAATGAAACTATGGAATTCAAAATATAGTACAATATTGAAGAGCGAATTATGAAACATACGCGAGGCAATTTATTTAATTGGAAAAGAAAATTCAGCTTTGTTGAGAAAATATAGTAATACTAATTACAGGATTTACATTTAAGTAAATAATGAGGAATATAATATTGCGAGCTTACATCGTTTTATATTTTTATATCATACACCACGTGGTGTGCATTCTAAATTTCTTAAATCGGTTGGGATCTTTATATAGAGATTACGTTGTTGGCTTATGAGGTAGTATCCGAAACACTAGACAAACGTCGATAATTTTTGGCAGGCTGATTGACTTTCCAATTACAACTCCAAATATCAGATTGGAGCCAATTAAGTTAAAACGATGTTAAGTTTAGCCGGTCGAACTTTTTATACCCTCCGCCAGAACGATGACATTCACAATATGTAAAATTAATGGGGGATCCTAGGAGAAAAATCATGATATAATAGCACATTGAATATATCGAAAAAAGACGTCAGGAAAATGTTATTACCAATTAAGGGTCTACACCAATATGGATCATTTTGGTTAGAGAAATAGGGTCAAAAAAAAAACCTTTCCAAAATTCCTAAAATAGCGTCCTCGGGTTAATATTAGTCATTTATTAGTTTATATACAATGAGAACCCAAAATACAAAATAACAGTCAATTTGATGAAAAACGTGTCGAAAATCCCAACAATATTGAAAATTGGGGGTATTGTTATGTGGCAGCTACCCTGAAACTCGGGTCAATATTAAAAATTTTACGGAGTTGTGCTAAACAATGAGTCACTATTGATGGGAATTCAGCAATTTAGAGGGGGGCTTTGCCGAAATATAGGCCATTAATATTGATTATAACTGCAATCTGCATAGTGGAGAGTAAAACATATTAAAACATCGTTCACTTCGGTCTAACTGTTTATAACCTCCGCCACCTTCACTTTCCATAAAAAATGCCATAAATCGATTTAGTGCTTGTTAGTTATTATGAGAAAATTGTAGGCATCCAGGTTGGAAACTTTGAATACATGAGAAGAAAAAGAAAATAAAACCAATAAGGAATGTAGTAAAGTCGGACTAGTCAGATACATTGGGCACACATAATTCTAGGCTTAATTCAGTACTCTATGCAAAATTTCGTGCAAATCGAAAGATATACTGGAGCTTTTGTGTACTATTTACTTTAAACCTGACGAAAATATATATGTCTATATAAATCTGAACCGATTTTCACGAAACTTAACACACACCATTCCCGACTTATAGTACGCAGTGCCAAATTTCGTACAAATCGAATGATATATAGGGACTTTGGTACTCCATTAACATTAAATCGGACGAATATATATATGTGATATATGTCTAAAATGAACCGATTTTCAGGAAACATAGCTCAAAGCATTCTAGACTTTATTCAGTTCGCTGTGGCATATTTCGTGCAACTCGAATGGTATATAGGGACTTTGGTACACCATTTCAATTAAATCGGACGAAATTATATATGGGAGCTACATCTAAATCTGAACCGATCTATGCCAAATTTTATGCACATCGAATGATATATAGGGACTTTGGTACTACATTTACTTTAAGGGGACACCCCCACCCCCATACGCCGGTGTCAACGAAAAAATATATGTAAGCTATGTGAACCGATTTTCACGAAACTTAACACATATCATTCTAGACTTAATTCAGTACGCTATACAAATTTTCGTGCAAATCAAATGATATATAGGGACATTGGTGCACCATTTACTTTAAATCGGACAAAAATATATATGGGAGCTATATCTAAATCTGAACCGATTTTGACGACATTTAACAAACATCATTCTAGACTTAATTCAGTACACCAGGCAAAATTTCGTGCAAATCCAATGTAATATGGGACATTTTTTGCACCATTTACATTAAATCGGACGAAAATATATATGGGAGCTATATCTAAATCTGATCTGAGTCATTTATTTGGAGCTGTGCCAAATTTCATTCAATTCGAATCATAAATGCGACATGTACTTTGTTTACAATTTAACATGGAAAGACAGACGGACATGCATAAATCGACTCAGAAAGTGATTCTATGCATATTCGCAAAAGGAACCATGGGTCTATCTCGTTTGGCTGTTACAAACATATGCACAAAGACACAATACCCTGTACCACAAGGTATTAAGTTTATATATATATATATATATTAAATTTGCAATCCATTACTATATTTCTCAACTTGTGAAAACATCTCCCCTTCATTTCAATTTCCCCCAAAAATATTTAGAGTCATCATTGGTTCTACAAATTACAGAATAAACAAATTCAGCAGTAACGAAAAAAATTGTGGTTAAACTAAAAGCATTTATATTGTAATGTGTGTTTGTTTTTCGTCTCTTTTTTACAAAAGCATACATACACACATACAGTGAGTGTAATAAGTATTTTGCCTCGATACAAATTTGAAAAATTTCTGATATATACGCCTAAAGCCAGCGTACCAAAGATGTAAAATGAATTATGTATGATAGAATATGTTTGTGGACATATTTAGATCTTATTTCTGCAAGAATCACTGCGAAAGGCCTATTGGCCTGGAAGATATCGGTCAAAATCTATACCAACCCAAAAATGATTATCACAAAAAAGTATTTTGCTTTTTATTATTATTTTTGAAAACAACTTTATATAACACACGCTTTGCTTTTTTATAGTTACTATTGCGGGTATCCACATACTAGAAGCGATTTGGCGTCGATTCCAATAAACCACGGCATTTTTCCGCGAATATTTTCTCACATTTACGTTCAATACATTCTCCAGCAATATTTCATTTAATATTTGGTAATTTATCGTCCTCATCTCAAAATGAGAGTATTAAATATAGTCGTCGCGGCTTCAGAACATCCCAAATAAGTTTAGAATAATAAAAAGGAGGTTTTGCAAAATATATCGCAAGGACAGGACCTTAAAAACTATTAAAACAAAAATCCGACAAACAAATTATTTAAAAAAATATCGCGAAACCCCATTTTTCTGACTTTGAAAACTTATGGTCCATTAATATTGATCTAGGAACCAATATATGCGATGGAAATAGGAATATGGAGGTCAGATTCAAAGATATGAACGGTTTTGTGGCAATAGAAATACATCTTATTTCGAAAATAAATATATCGACCAGTTTATTTACTGCTGCATTTTATTCGCAACTGACGGTGTTAAACGGATGTAAAATATTGAATGCGTCTTCGTCACCTGCTACCACAGGTTTTCAAAACGCAATAGTATTTGACGAAGAATGATGTTTTCTCCCAAATTCATGTACTGCTTTGTAGTTTCTGTTGTTTTAGAACTGTTCATATCTTTGAATCTGACCTCCATATTGCTATTTCCATCGCATATATTGGTTCCTAGATAAATATTAATGGACCATAAAGTTTTCAAAGTCAGAAAAATGGGATATCGCGGTATTTTTTTTAATAATTTGTTTGTCGGATTTTGGTTTTAATAGTTTTTAAGGTCCTGTCCTCGCGATATATTTTGCAAAACCTCCTTTTTATTATTCTAAACTTATTTGGGATATTTTGAAGCCGCGACGACTATATTTAATACTCTCTTTTTGAGATTAGCACGAAAAATTACCAACTATTAAATGAAATATTGCTGGAGAATGTATTGAACGTAAATGTGAGAAAATATTCGCAAAAAAAATGCCGTGGTTTTTTGGAATCGTCGCCAAATCGCTTATAGTATGTGGTTACCCGCAATGGTACCTATAAAAAGGCAAAGCGTGTGTTATGTAATGATTTTTCCAAAAATAATAATAAAAAGCAAAATACTTTTTTGTGATAATCATTTTTGGGTTGGTATAGATTTTAGCTGATATCTTCTAGATCAATAGGTTTTTCGCAGTGAGTCTTGCAGAAATAAGATCTAAGTATGTCCACAAACATATCCCATCATACATAATTCATTTTACATCTTTAGTATGCTGGCTTTAGGCGTATATATTGGAATTTTGAGAAATTTGTATTGAGGCAAAATACTTATTACACTCACTGTATATTACATTTACTTGTAGTGCTCAGTTTATCAATTTGTAGTTTTGGGATTACATTTTGGTTTTTATTCCTACTACAGATAATTGAGGTAGAGAAAATAATAAAAGGTCAACAATTCCAATTAAAGCACTTCAAATGAATATCCAATACTGACTGGCTGGCATAAATTCCCAAATGAAAACCATCATCATCGTCGTCAATTTCTTCGTTACAAATGCACACACAAAATTGGAATTTGTGGTTTGAATGTTGTAATTTGGCATTTTACTGACAAACTGATTGGATGGGTGCAATATTTCCAATTAACTCTCCGAAACAATTCTCTGAA